CAGATCCACCACAGGCGAATTGAAGCTTGCTGTCTTCAAAAACTACTTTTCTCAATATCTGAATATCAAATAACCTGGAAATCTATGTGAGCTTTGATATCGAGCACTCCATCAACTTTCGTCCAAAGAATGTTAGTGCTCCACACGTCTCCGTGTGCGAACACTCTTTTATATCCGAGTTTATCTGGGATTGCATCGTATTTCGCATAAACTTCCTTTGTACACAGTTTGAGCATCAGAGTATGGAACTGACGACTAGTTTCTAAGTTTTCTGGTCCACAGAACTCTTCTAATCCAGCTTTCAGTTGATTAACCATCTATTGAAACATTTCCAGTTAACAGTGTGCGAGTATAACCCTACCTCAGGCTTGAACATGTCTCCGAAGTTCTCGCTCAAGAACGCAGTAGTATAAATGCTTTTTTCCTCTTCTGTCATCTTCAATCCGATTCCTTGCCAAATGGCTATGGAACGCAAAACCTGAAACACGAAATTCCAGAAAACCTAACAAGATGGAAGAATGAACCTTCTTCATTGCTTCGATAGTGATGTTATCAGTAAGATGACATGGAACAATATCATCGAAGTACTCCATTATGAGGTAGCCTTTTGTTTTATTGTCATCAGTGAATCTACGGGAACAGTATATCTACAAAGAGTAAGCGAATTGGATATTGGAACCGACGGTTTGACACTCACCTTAGGTAAGGGTATTCTACCTTCACTGTACTTATTCATAATCTTATAAGTNTGAGAGAATGCCCAAACCTTTATATTGACTCAAATACTTTCTTATCGTTTATATCACGGGAAAGCATATCTGTTGAGCAGATAAGAGACCTATTCGACTACATTTTGAAAGAATAAAGACTAAACGGAAAAAAGTGAATAATACACTGTTTGATGACGGTCGTTTACTATTTATACTACTTGTACAGAAGTTTTCAGGTACCTAACTAGATCTATTTAAATCAATAACCTGCTTTAATGTAACATTCGAACATGTTTTTTTCTTGATGACTGATCCAAAACTTTTTTTCTGTTTTTCGTTCCTCAATCAGCCAACTGGTCTCACCCCCTCAAACGTCCAGAACACAGGATTCGTAACATGAACTTCAACGCCTCTCCCGACAAGCTCTGCCGAGTTACAAATGACGAATTTGTGATAGCTTTAAGCCTTCATAAAAACCATCTCAGACATATCATATGAAGTCAGAAATTGCTTTCTTATCTTTTGTTCTAAAAGCGTATTTCTCCTTTGATCCAACAACTTCCATATATCATTACAATGA